GGAAGACTCAATATTGTTAACATGTCAATTCTCTCCCTAACTGGTATGCAGAGTAAGACTAATCTTTTTTTTTTTTTTTTTTTTTGAGATGGAGTCTGGCTCTGTCACCCAGGCTAGAGTGCAGTGGCGGGATCTCAGCTCACTGCAACTCTCTACCTCCCAGGTGCAAGTGATTCTCCTGCCCCAGCCTCCTGAGTAGCTGGGATTATAGGTGCCCAACACCGCACCCGTCTAATTTTTGTATTTTTGGTAGAGACGGGGTTTCACCATTTTGGCTGGGTTGGTCTCAAACTCCTGACAAAATGATCTACTTGCCTTGTCCTCCCAAAGTGCTAGGATTACAGGTGTGAGCCACTGTGACCAGCCAAACTAATCTTAATAGGCTTTGTCTGTAGAAAATGAAAAACTTATTCTAGCATGTGTAAAGAAATACACAACATCTGGGATACCAAAACAATCTTGAGAAGAACAAAGATGGAGAACTCTATCTGATTTTAAAATGTATTATAAAGTGACAGAAATAAAGACATTGTAATATTGGTATAACAAAAAAGAGAGGTCAATGGTAAAGAATGGAGTACGGAAATAGAATTATATACATGTGGTCAATTTAATTTTGAAAAAGATATCAAAGCAATTAAATAGGCAAAGGAAAGTTTTACAGTAAATGGTACTGAAATAATTAAATAAACACATAGGAAAATATGAACTACAATCTTTTTCTTCTACCACAAAGATAAACTTAATTTAAAATAAACTTTTTATATAGAAGCTAAAACTATCATAGCATTTCTAAAAAAGACAGTAAAGAATATCTCCAGGAACTTACAGTAGATAAAAATATCTTAGACGAGACACAATGAGCTCTAAATATAAAAGAAAAAGATTTTAAAATTGCAATTTGTCAAATTTAGAAACTTCTGTACAGCAAGAGACACAATTGAGAAAGTAAAAACAGAAGCCATGAGCTGAGAGTAAGTTTCTCAATAAGAATATTTGACAAATAATATGCATCCAGAATATACAAACCCTTAGAAATCAATAAGAATAAAACTAAAAATATGATTAATGGACTTCTGGTGTCTGCTGTGAAGATAGAGAGTGGGAAAAAACAATGTTTTCCACCCTTACAGAAACAACAAAAAATACAGGTCAAGATTTTCTTGAAAACTTCAGAGAAGCGAGGTCACAGGAAAACCAGCTAGTCTAAAATCTAAGGAGAAAAAGATGCCTATGAGGAAAGATGGCATTTGCTAACCTAGAACAAACACAGCCAGACATCAGTTCGAATTTGGTTAGAAGAGTTAATAAATTGGGGGAGTGTATTAGTGTATTATTTTCATACTGCTATAAAGAACTGCCTGAGTGAGACTGGGAACTTTATAAAGGAAAGAAGTTTAATTAACTCACAGTTCAGCATGGCTGAGGAGGCCTCAGGAAACTTACAATCATGGTGGAAGGCAAAGGAGAAGCAAGGCACCTTCTTCACAAAAAACCAGGAAGGAAAAGTGTGCTGAGCTAAGATAGCAGAGCCCCTTTAAAAATCATCAGATCTCGGGCCGGGTGCAGTGGCTCACGCCTGTAATCCCAGCACTTTGGGAGGCCGAGGCGGGTGGATCACGAGGTCAAGAGATCGAGACCATCCTGGTCAACATAGTGAAACCCCGTCTCTACTAAAAATACAAAAAATTAGCTGGGCATGGTGGCGCGTGCCTGTAATCCCAGCTACTCAGGAGGCTGAGGCAGGAGAATTGCCTGAACCCAGGAGGCGGAGGTTGCGGTGAGCCGAGATGGCGCCATTGCACTCCAGCCTGGGTAACAAGAGTGAAACTCTTGTCTCAAAAAAAAAAAAAAAATCATCAGATCTCGTGAGAACTCACTCTCAGAAGAACAGCAGGGAGGAACTGCTCCCCATGATTCAATTACCTCCATCTTGTCTCTCCCTTGATGTGAGGACCATAATTTAAGATGAGATTTGGGTGGGGAAACAAAGACTAACCATATCAGGGAGTGTTGAATGTGGGTTCACAAAGCCCCTGGGAGCCACATACTCCTATGTATAGGGGGAGTTTACATCTTCTTGCAGTCTTCTCTGCATAGACTCCTCTGGACATACAAAAAGAAGCGGGGTGAGAATCCTGAGAAAGTATGCCTCATGATGCTGACCTGGAGGATAAGAATGGTAGCTACCATGAAGTGGGTATAAAACCAGCCAAGACCTTCTCCCTTATCTCCCCTAATAAATAGAAGCCTTCATCTACAAGTGGTTTTGGCAAGAAGCATTGTAACCTTTAGGCACTGGGACAAACCCAGTGCAGCTGGAAGAAGGGAACAGGGAAGTATCCCCTTTTCCTGGAGGAAGAGGCAGGAATATGTGCTGAACACAGAACTGCAGATGGTGAAAAGGCAAGAGTTCTGAGGTCATGTTCCCAAGACCCAAGTATATAGGGCCTCCTGAGACTGAAGTTTAATCAAAACAACAGAGATTATCCCCTCTTTTCTCTAGTACCAAGCTGACAAGCATCAAGTAACAAGTAACGGTGGGGTGCTGCTGGGAAAGTTGTAAGATAAGGGAGACAGACCCCCTCAGCTAATGCAAATGAGAGAACAAAAGCTGAGTGTCCAGCAGATAGAGGAACCTGCTCGGGAAACCAGGCTCCACCCAAAACTAAAGACATTGTTAGAGAAATCTGAAGCATGTGGTACACCGAGGATAAGCATAGCATGAATAAACTGCAAATCCAACCAGTATCCTCAGTAGATTAACCCAAACCTCCACACAATGCCTAACAGAAAGGAAGGAACACTTCCTTACAGGCATGAAAACTACCTATTTCTACTATCCAACAAGAAGATGCACACATTAAACACAAAATTATGGGCAAACAAAATGGCAAGAAATAAACAACATATTGCTAAGAAACAAAGCTATAAACTAAACTGGACTCAGATGTGACAGAGATGTTAGAATTATCTGATAGCAATTGAAAAATAACTTTGACTATGATGTTAACAACTGTAATGGAAAAAGTGAAAACATGAGATCAGTGGAAAATTTCAACAAGGAGATAGAACTAAAAGAATCAGATGAAATTTCAAGGAACAACTCCCTATGGTAACATAAATGAAGAGTGCCTTCAACACACTCATCAGCAGACGTGGCACAGCCTAGGAAAGATTCAGTGAACTTGAAAGTAGGTCAATTGAAAACACCCAAATTGAAACGCAGAACATCCAAGACCAATGGAACAATCTTAAAAATTCCGTGTAGTCTCACATATGCCTACATGGAATGCCAGAAAAAGAACAGGACAGAAATTTTCTCCCATTCTGTAGATTGTCTGTTCCTTTTGTTGATAGTTTATTTTGCTGTACAGGAGCTCTTTAGTTTAATTAGATCTCATTTGTCAATTTGTTGTGTTTGATGTCTTCATCATGAAATCTTTGCACGTGCCTAGGTTGTCTTCCAGGGTTTTTATAGTTTTGAGTTTTACATTTAAGTCTTTAATTCATCTTGAGTTAATTTTTGTATATGATGTAAAGAGGGAACTGGAGGCCATTATTCTTAGCAAACTTACACAGGAACAGAAAACCAAATACTGTATATTCTCACTTATAAGTGGGAGCTAAACGATAAGAACTCATGGACACATAGGGGGATCAACACACACTGGGGCCTACTTGAGGGAGGAGAGAGAGTATCAGGATAAATAACTATTGGGTACTAAGCTTAATACCTGGGTGATGAAATAATCTATACAACAAACCCCTGTGACTTAAGTATACGTATGTAACAAACTTACAGATGTACCACTGAATTTAAAATTTAAAAAAAAAAAAAGAAAGAATAGGACAAAAATATTGAAGAAATAATAGCTATGAATTTTCCAAAATCAGCAACATACATCAAATCACAGTTACAAGAAACTTAGAGAACCACAGGAGGATAAACATCGTGTGTGTGTGTGTGTGTGTGTGTGTGTGTGTGTGTGTGTGTATCTGGGCATAAAATATTCAATCTACTGGAATCAAAAGACAGAGAAAATTTGAATGTAGTTAGAGAAAAAACATACCATGCACATATAAAAATGATAAATTTTAAAAAAGAGAAAATATATTCAATAAGGGGAAATAATCTAAAAAGATAAGAAAACAAATTAATGAAATGAAAAACAAATATACCATATAAATACTCAGCCCAAAATTTGTTCCTTAAAAGGACCAATAAATTGATGAACTCCCAAATAGATTAATAGAGAAAGAGATACAAGTAACCATTATCAGGATTACAGCAGGGGAAATCACAACAAATTTGATAAATTCTAAAAGTAATAAAAGAATATTACAAACTTTTCAATAAAATATTTCTTAGAAAAACACCATTTACTAAAACTGATAGAAAAAAATTAAAAACTGCAAACTTTGGATAGCTCTATAAATACTAAAGAAGTTGAATCTTTCATTGAAAATGTACACACACACAAACACACACACATGCTCCAGACCCAGATGGGCTCACCTGAAAATTCTACATTTTAAGAAAGAACATCAACCTTATACAAACTTCCAGAGAATTTAAAAAAGAGAACAATTCTTAACTTGTCCTTAGAAGCCAGGATAAACTGGTTTCCAACAAGTAGGTTATGGCTGGATGCGTTGGTTCACGCCTGTAATCCCAACACTTTGGGAGGCCCAGGAAGAGGGATAACCTGAGGTCAGGACTTCGAGACCAGCCTGGCCAACATGGCAAAACCCCGTCTCTACTAAAAATACAAAAATTAGCTGGGCATGTTGATGTGCACCTATAATACCAGCTACTTAGGAGGCCAAGAGAATCACTTGAACCTTGGAGGCAGAGTTTGCAGTGACCCAAGATCATGCCATTGCACTCCAGTCTGGGTGACAGAGCAAGACTCCATTGCAAAAAAAAAAAAAAAAAAAAAAAAAAACAAGTAGGTTGCAAGGAAGAAAATTTTCAGGCAAATATTATTTATGAACTAAAATTTTCTTAAGCAAAATATTAAAATTTTACTATGTTATGACTGAATTGTGTTTATCCCAAGAATTCAAGATTAACTTGACATTTCAAAATCAGTCATATATTTTACCTACATTAGCAAAAGGAGGAAGAAAAAATTATATGATCTTCTCAATAGAGGCAGAAAAGAATGATAAATGTCAAGTCCATTAATGGTTGAAAACACAGAAGTACTTTAAAAACCAGAATAGTGTCTGCAACAAAATTCACATTTAATAGATGCTGAAAAACTTCCCTCTGAAATCAGAAATTGTACAAACGTGCTCTCCATCACTACTTTCACTTTTACTCAATATTGTACAGGAAGTCTTATCCAGTGTAATAAGACAACATACAAAACAAAAACAAAAACCTAAAAGGAATAGTATTGAAAAGAAAACATCTGTTACTATCACAGAAAATATGATGACTCGAGTTGAAATCCAAAAACAATCTAAAATGAATTCCAGGAGAACTATCCCAACAACCCTACCATGGCTAGTGTTCCCTGGACACCATGAACCACACTGTCCGAACCTTCTTCACTCCTGCCAACACCGACCATCCCCCCAGCTATGAGATGCTGAAGGAGGAGCATGAGGTGGCTGTTCTGGGGGCACCCCACAACCCTGCTCCCCTGACATCCACCATGATCCACATTCGCAGCGAGATCTCCCTGCCTGACCATGTCGTCTGGTCCCTGTTCAACACCTTCTTCATGAACTCCTGCTGCGTGGGCTTCAGCGTTTGCCTACTCCGTGAAGTCCAGGGACATGGAGATGGTTGGTGACCTGACTGGGGCCCAGGCCTATGCCTCCACCACCAAGTGCCTCAACATCTGGGCCCTGATTTTGGGGATCATCATGACCCTTCTGCTGATCATCATCCCAGTACTGATCTTGCAAGTCTATTGATAGATCAAGAGGAATCATCCATGCCAGGTGCTCTGCCCCTGATCTGTTTCCCACATACTTCCATTCCTCACCCTGCCCCTGAGCCACGTCCTGTATCAGCCCTTTATACTCACACACTTTTCTACGATGGCATTCAATAAAATGCATGTGTTCCTGGAAAATAAATAAATAAATAATAAAATAAAATAAAAATAAAATGAATTCCAAAAATTAATGAGTTTATAGTTACTAAATGCAAAGTCAATTTGCAACATTCGATATAAAAATTGTATTTCTGTATATTAGTAGTAACTAAACAAGAAAAAATTCTATAGTGTTCAGGAGAAACAAAATTAAACTATTAAAATAGAAAAAATAAAGTTTAAAAATTATTAGCACATAACATAATAAAGCAGAGATATCAGTCTGGAATTGTGAGAGGTGGTAGAGAAGAAAAAATCAGAAAACAAAAGTAGGCCACAAATCCTTTCCCTTGTAGGTAGAGATATTCTGATTAAACATGGACATTGACAGAGAATCATAAGGTTAAATATACATCTCAAAAAATATAAGAATAAAAATGAGAAGAATAGAAAGTATATAGCTTTCCAACAGCAAGGTGGAGGAAGAGGAAATAGGACAAATAAAGTTTGATAGACAAAAGGTAGAGAGGTAAAAAAATAACTCCAAATCATGAAGTATTTAAATGGCAGCATGTGGGATGCTATGGTGCACTGTCAAGTTTATTTCATTCAAAGGTAGCATCCTTTCTGAGGGGCAGCCTGCATTGAATAACTGATCCCAGACTCCTTCCCTCAATTCAGGACAGCTCCTAAGGTCCTTCTCATCTTGAGCTCTCTGTGAGACTGGCTGAGACCTCTGGTATTGCACTTCAGCCTCTCCTCTGCCCAGTCTTTCCTGTACTCCCTCACAGGGGTTGTTTCCTCAAAACCTTTTCAGATGCGTATGCCTGTCTTCTCTATCTTAATGAATGTTTCTCAGGGGACCTGATTTCAGACAGTTGGTGCCAAGTGGACCAAGAAAGCAGAACTTTAAGGGTAGAATTTTGGAGCCGGTCACCCACCAGGTGGCTAACAATTAAGATATCATCATTGGTAGCAAATGGAGTGTGGAAGATCCTGGAATACCGCGGCAACATATTCTGATTACATTTTGTTGCTTAACAAATATATGCAAAGCCGAGTGGCTTAAAATAACTATTTTATTACCTCTCATAATTCTGCGAGTTAATTAGACTTAGCAGGGCAGTTCTCCAGCTTCAATGATGCTGGATGAGGTTGTAGTCATCTGGAGCTTAATTGGGCTCATTCACTTGCTTGGAAGCTGAGGCTAGCTGAGGCTTTGAGTTCACCTGGAACTGGTGAGCAATATGCCTATGAGTGAACTCTTCAAAATATGGCAGCTGGGTTCCAAGAAGAACATACCAAGAACAAGGTTTCTGAGAGAGAAGAACTAGAAAAAGCAAGATCATTTAAAGACTAAAGCCAGCATTTTGTATAGTACAACATCACTTACACCATATTCTATTATCAATGTAATCACAGCATAGACTAGATTCAAAGAGAGAGGACGCAGGACATGGAATATGTATATGGAAGGTGGGGTAAAACTGAGCCACCTTAGAAGACTAGCTAATGCACAGTATAATTGTTAAAATTTCACTGGTGGTGAACTCAGAGGGTATAATAGTGAAGGAAAAGCATTGATGGGTGCAATATCTCAAAAGTTTGGGGAAAGTAATAATTATAAACAATGGAATCAAATGCATTTTGCTGCATGCAACCAAGGCACCAGAGAAAGAAAACAAAAGGCTGAGGATGATTAATCATGAACTACAGGCAAAGTGAAAAAGCCAGTGGGCTTCCTTGGCAGTTTTTGAAGAAACTGTCAACTACCACAGCGGGACAGCAGAAAGAGTGGTGGATCGGGTACAGGACTTATTTATAAAGCTGGCCAGCTGCAAAAACACTGAATTCTCAATCTTGGAAGTGCTGTTAAAACCAGGTCAGTTTCTTTTTTGGAAGGAGTCTTGAGATGGAAAGTTCTTGGTTGACACACTAAAGAAATCTGAAATCCCAATTTCCCTGAACCATCTGCAGAAGTGGCCCACTCCTCCCTATTAAAGGCTGTTACACCTCCCTTGACTGAAGATGCTACAGAGACCTCTGGCTTATAAGACAGTGTGCATCTTCTTCAGGATCTGTCCCACCAATCAACAATCAAAACTGTTTTTGGAAAGTACTGTTAAATTCAACTTTTGGCAATTACAATGAAAAAAAAAAAAAAAACTAGAAAAGATGTGGATAAACACCATTGTAAGTGCAAAGGAAATTTAAAATTATATAAGAGCCAGAATCATAGGAAAGTAGTTTCATTATCTTTATGCCAGACATTTAGAAAACTAAGTGAAGTGTATCACTTCATAGAAATGTATATAATAACTAATTCAAGAAGTCAAAAGTAGAAGTATTATGAATAAAGAAATGAGCAGGCAACTAAAATATACTCTTTAAAAAGACCTTAGGTCCAAGTAATTTCACAGAAGAATTTTATAACACTTCAAGTTGGAGACACTTTTTATATTTTATATCAACTATTCCAGAGCAGAAAAAATTATGAAAAGCTATATGTAAGTCATTCTATGAGAATAGCCAAACTCTGCCATCAACAAAGGACAAAATGTGTACAAAAAAGGGAAAGAGAATTAAATTTGTCCTCATATGCATGCATATTAAAATCCTAAAGTAAATATTAACACACAAAACCCAGCAGAAAATTAAAGAATACTGTACTTCATATTCAAGTATAAGTTATATCTGTCTTAGACATTTGCAAAAATCAGAGAACAATTGCTTCTCTGGACATATATATGATTAAAAAAAGAGGCAGAAATTTCAGGATACGAAGAAATTTAGAAAGTAGAGTGTTATTGCATTAACTTCTTATTGTATACCCAATACTATATTACACAAAATTCAAAAACTATCACAGTGGTTTCAGCCTTTGCTTATGAGATTCTGTTTCTTTTTCTTTTTTAATGTATCTGAACTAATATTGACTGCTTTCCTCCTTGTTTATGGGAGATAAACTGATCTTTGTCTAACCTCTCCTGGTGCAGCTTTATTGGCAGTGATTCTAACCAGCTGTTGCTCCATTTCCTTATTCACATTGGTTAAATGGTAAAGTTCCTCTCTGTTCTTTGGTAGGAAAAGGAGAGGAAAATTTTGAGATGTATACTTACAAGGGAGAGTCTAACCAAGGGTTTTTCAGAACACCTAGTTAAACATTAGAAAATAAATGTATATATTATTATTAGTGGACTAATGGAGAAAATCCATTAGATTACATTCAGTACCTATTAATGATTCAAAAAATTAGCAAGCAGAGACCAAAGGCATATTTCTAATAAAGGTTGCTTACATGAAACCTATAGAAAATACCATAGTTGATAGCAAAAATATGGGAAATATCCTCACTAAACACAAGAACAAGAAGGGGGTACCTGTTGTGTCTATGGCGTCTTCAGTGTAATAAAGACATACAAGAAAGAAAAAAGAGGCATTGCCATGGGAAACAAAGAGATAAAGCTAACACTTTTCACAAACAATATCAGTGAGAAAATGGATGTCACTGAAAAATACAAGGAGTTAAAATATAAAATTCAAGGGACTATGTACATATATATATATATATATCCAATTATATATTTATCTAGCTATATAATCTCCTCTTTCATAAGAAAAAAAGATATCACAAAAGAGCCAAAAAATCTGAAAAAGACTATCAATGAGAGGTGACTTCAATTTGATTACATGTTGTTAGACCTATACTAATTAAACTTTAAGAGTTTAGAATTTGGAAAATGAGTCAATAAAATTGAATAAATCATATAAGCAAATTCATGTATATGTAAGACTTTAGGATTAGTTTGTTTTTTTAGACAGTGGGAAAAAATTGTGTCATTAAATTGTAGGAATAGTAGCTATCAATATGAAAAAATAAAGTAATATGTTTATGCCTCACATCATTTGCTAAATTTCAGATGCTTTAAAATACAAAATATTAAGCAACAATATAAATGTGTTAGAGAAAAAAATACAGAATACTTTTTAAAGCTATGGGGTAGCAAATGTCGTAAATGAAACCTCGACCCAGAAACCTAAAGTATAAATGACAAGTTTCACCTAAGAAGCTTAAAAACTTCTGTATAATGGGGAGGGGAGAAACATAGTAAAGGTAACATACAAGTAGCAGAGATGAATTACTGCAACACATTTAGTGGACAAGTTATTAATAACCAGAATGTGTAAAGACTGCTATAAATAATTTAGGAAAAGGCAAACAACTCAACACTAAAATGAGTAAAGAATGCCAGATGGTAGTTCTCAAAAAGAGAAACAAAAGGGCCAATAAACACGTAAAAGATATTCACAGGCAATCATGTGTGTGCGTGTGTGTGTGTGTGTGTGTGTGTGTGTGTGTGTGTGTTTGGTTTTTCACCTATCAGATGGCATACATTGTCAAACCTTGGACAGATATAGGGAAACCGGCACATCCATATACAGCAGATAAGAGTCTTTATTGGTAATATATTTTGGAAAGGAAATTAGGAAGAATGTATTCTAAATCTTAAATATCCTTGGCCAAACAATTCTGGTTCTAGCAATATATTTTCAAGAAATACATTCATGAGTGCCCAGTGATGTCCATTTGAGGCCATTCATAACTTCATTGTGTTAATACCAAACTAAAAACACTAAAATTTCCATCAATAGGGGAAAGTTGTGAAAAGAATACAATATATGGCACATATAACCAACCTATATTACATGAAAAATTTTCCAATTCTATTTTTGTAAGTTCAAATAGTAGAATATGATCCCCTTTGCGTTAAAATGTCAGTAAAGCTATATGTAAATACATGTAATTGCATGGGAAGGGACATAAGTATGCACACCAGATGCTTGACAGTGGCACCACCTGGGAGAGGAAAGCAGGAAAGGCATACTGCAGGGGTCATTTCAGGGTTTGCTCTCAATATTTTTGTATTTTAAAAATCTTTTACCAAGAGAATATGTTCATGCATTAGTAAGGTAAATCAAAAGATAAAACAATTATAGCAGTGAGGTAACAAATAATTTTCCTTTTTGGTCCCTAGCAATATCTGTCTATGATGGACGAACTGGCCTCCAGTTTGGCTATTCCATTGATTTTGGCCATGCTTTGAGATA